GTATGTTGTCCCCTTATGTGTGTTGGTATGTTGTCCTTTCTGTGTGTATAGTGTGTTGTCTCCTGGTATGTTGTCCCTTTCCTAGTGTGTTGTCCCCTGGTATGTTGTCCCTATCATAGTGTATCATAGTGTGTTGTCTCCCTGGTATGTTGTCCCTATATGTGTTGTTTCTCTGGTATGTTGTCCCTTCATAGTGTGTTGTCTCCCTGTATGTTGTCCCTATCATAGTGTGTTGTCTCTGGTTGTGTCCCTATATATTGTCCTATCATAGTGTGTTGTCTCCCCTGGTATGTTGTCCCTATCATAGTGTGTTGTCTCCCTTGGTATGTTGTCCCTATCATAGTGTGTTGTCCCTGTTGTATGTGTTGTCCTGGTATGTAGTATCCCTATTTTATCATGGTGTGTTGTCTCCCCTGGTATGTTGTCCCTATCATAGTGTGTTGTCTCCCCTGGTATGTTGTCCCTATCATAGTGTGTTGTCTCCCCTGGTATGTTGTTGTCCCTATCATAGTGTGTTGTCTCCCCATGTATGTTGTTCCCCTTGGTGTGTTGCTCTCTCCCCTGGTATGTTGTCCCTATCATATATGTTGTGTGTGTGTCTCCCCTGGTATGTGTCCCTATCATAGTTGTCCCTATTTGCCTATAGTATATTTGTCTCCTATGGCATGTTGTATTTGTCATCGTGTTGTCTCCCCTGGATGTTGTCCGCGGGTGTGTTGCCCCCTGGTATGTTGTCTCCCTGTATTGTCCCTATCATAGTGTGTTGTCCTGGTGTTGTGGTGTGTTGTCCCTGTATGTTGCATGTGTTGTCCCCTGGTATGTTGTCCCTTTCATAGTGTGTTGTCTCCCTGGTATGTGTCCCTTTCTATTTGTCCCTCTCCCATAGTGTGTTGTCCCCTGGTATGTTGTCCCTTCATAGTGTGTTGTCTCCTGGTATGTTGTCCCTATCATAGTGTGTTGTCTCTGGTATGTTGTCCCCTGCATGTTGTCCTTTCCCTGGTGTTGTCTCCCTGTATGTTGTCCCTCATAGTGTGTTGTAGTTGTGGTATGTTGTCCCTATATATGTGTTGTCTCCCTTTATCATAGTGTGTTGTCTCCCTGGTATGTTGTCCCTAATGTGTTGTTTGGCAGTATGTTGTCCCTATCATGTTGTGTTGTGTTGTCCTCCTGTTGCATGTTGTCCCTAGTGTTTGTCTAGTGTGTTGTCCCTGGTATGTTGTCCCTATCCTCCCTGGTATGTTGTCTCCATCTGGTGTGTTGTCCCTATCATAGTGTGTTGTCTCCTTGGGATGTTGTCCCTGTGTTGTCTCCCATGTTGTCCCTATCTAGTGTGTTGTCTCCCTGGTATGTTGTCCCTTCATAGTCCCCTGGCATGTTGTTGTCCCTGGTATGTTGTCCCTATCATAGTGTGTTGTCTCCTGGTATGTTGTCCTATCATAGTGTGTTGTCTATCTTGGCCCCCTGTGTTGTCTCCCCTGTTGTATGTTGTCCCCTGCATATATGTTGTGTCCCTTTATATCGCTGTGTAGTGTTGTCTCCCCTGAGTATGTTGTCCCTTCATAGTGTGTTGTTTCACCAAGTATGTGGACCAACACCAAGTGTTCACCATTATGGACTCCAAGAATCATCGACACTTCATTTTGATATTGTCCAGTCCTTCTAGTCGTGATATTACTATAATCTATTTTACTGGCCAAGGAATCTTTACACAGGGACATTTGGATTGATTAAAACCTGAGATGATAAATGAAACTAATTAAAATAAATATACCGAGGACAATGAGAATACATTTTTTTTAAACGGCAATAAGCTTAGATATATGAAAGCTTGTTAATATATAGAAAGGCCAAGTTAAAAAAATCCACCAATGTCACAGTTGCTTCGTGTTTACAGGACCAAGTGTTATACACATTTCAACCAAATAATTATTATTTTGTTCCCAAATTTTAAGTACATGTATACATCCTGTTGAAAGTATAGAGGTGGGAAATTACTACGCCTTAACGCTGGTGTTAAGTAAAACCTAATTTAATTAGATAGCTTGTAGTACCAAGGACAAAGTACAGAATTTTTGGTGAATAGTCAGGACTGGGGGCCATGTCTTACTGAACCCCACATTATGCTGCGGACAGGTCGCGTCAATTGACCGAGGAGTCGTCACCTCATTACTGGGAATTTTTGGCAGGAGTTTTTCTTAACATGGTTGCTGTAGCGTACGGAATGTCAGTCCAATGACGGAGAAAGGAAAATAGCGAGCGAGAACTTATAAAGATAAGACGTGCAAATGTCAATGTGCACCAAGCCGTCTCCATCTCATTCTCTGACCCAGCTGTTAGTTTACAATGGAACTACTTAATTTCCGACTGAACTAAAGAAACGAACCTAACCTAATCCAACCTAACCATACAAGAAATACGCAAATTAACCTTCTTATGTTTTTGAGTGGAATTTATTGGTGTAATTATACGGTATACGGTATAGAAAGATGTATGTATATATAGAAAAAATATGTTAAAGTTATGCAAACATGTTTGGCCTCGGGAACACTGTGGGCCTGAACTGTTAATGACTGTACAAGCTAATACTAACTTTGCTACCTTAATCTTCTCTACTTATTTAACTTTTTCTAAACTAAAAAACCTAACCGGTAATACTGTGTCCTTTCATAGATATGTGGAAATAAGGTAGCGACCTTTCCTTGACACAAAGAGGGCTGCGGCTACCATGTGTAAGGAACAGATTAGCGGACCCCTCGTAAATTTATTTACAAAATCATTAGACATGGGAGTTGTGCCAGACTTGTGGAGACAGGCAAATGTAGTACCCATATTTAAGTTTGCGGATGACACCAAAAGAGGGAAGTAGATTAATTCAAGGTAGGATGCAAATGCCCTTTAGGAGGATTTAAATTAACTGCAGGAGAGGTCAGAAAATTGACAAATGAAATTCAACACCAGCAAGTGCTGCGTACTTAATATTGGAAAAACAAATACTGTCAATGTATACAGCCTTAACAACATAAAACTAGAGAAGTCGACTTGTGAAAGAGACTTAGGGGTACTCGTAAACCCGGACCTTCGACCTAAAAAACAATGCGTTAATGTTCGAAAAAAGGGAAACAGAGTATTAGGTTTTATATCTAGAAGTGTAAGTAATAAGAGTGTGGAGGTCATATTGCAACTATATCTTGCGGTAGTCAGGCCGCACCTCGATTATGCGGTTCAGTTCTGGTGCCCTTATTATAGAATGACGAAATGATTCCGGGACTTAGAAACCTTCCCTAGCAAGATAGATTAAAGAAACTAAACTTGCATTCCCTAGAAAGACGAAGAGTGCGGGGAGATATGATAGAAGTATTCAAGTGGGTGAAAGGAATCAATAAAGGAGATATAGATAAAGTTCTTATAATATCCGAGCTGGATAGGACTCGTAGCAACGAATTTAAGTTGGATAAGTTTAGGTTTAGGAGGGAGATAGGAAAGAACGGTTCACAAATAGGGTGGTGGACGAGTGGAACAAGGTTAACAACTTTGTAGTAAGTGCTGGAACGCTGGAAAGTTTTAAAAGGAGGCTAGATAGATTCAAGGACGATAGAGAGTGGTTGTAACTCTCGACAGGAGTGCCATGCACAGGCCAACCGGCCTATTGCAGACGTCTTATTTTCTTAAGTTCTTGTGTTCTCAAGGGGGATGTGAGAACCAAACCTCAAGAAGGCTGTGGTTACCAACCCTCAGGAGTGGCTGTGGTTACCAACCCTCAAGAGGTTTGTGGTTACCAGCCTTCAAGACATCTGTGGTTACCAACCCTCAAGAGGTCTGTGGTTACCAACCCTCAAGAGGTCTGTGGTTACCAACCCTCAAGAGTGGCTGTGGTTAACAACCCTCAGGAGGGCTTTGATCACCAACTCAAAGAAAAGAGGGTTTGGGGTCACCGACACCATCACCATCTCCTGACACCACTGACATACACACCACACGACCATTGCCATCCCTTGACACCACTGCCATTCATACCATACCACACCACACCACCTGACGCCATTGACATCCACACCACAGCACCGTACCACACCTTCTGACAACAGGGTCTCATCCACACCACACTACATCACACTCCCTGACTCCACTCTCATCCACACCACATCCCCTGACACCACTGTTATCCATATCACCACACCACACCACACCTTATATCTGAAGGAGCACCTCGACCACGTGTTTTGCAACCTGTAGTATGATTCCCACTTTACAAAACACAAGAAGATAATAATGTTAACTTTGAAGAAACATATGATCAACAAATTAGACGTGAAATAAACTAAATGAAATTGAAAAAAAAAGGCCACACAAATGAATTATTGAAGAAATGAAAAAAAAATTACATTCATAAACGTAAAAATATATATTAATTAGTTAATGAATATAGAAAGCTTAATGAATTATATTCCGAGAAGAAATCACAGACATCTTCAGTTCTGTACGTGCGGTGGTAGGTGCGGGAGCTTGCCTGGATGCGGTTCATTTATCAAGGTTGTGTAATGTATTCAAGACACAAGATTACGTCTTAAAGTGGCGAATGTTGTGGGCACTTGTTGTGGGTCCTGAAGGTGTTCACTCACTGTTGTATTCCTGGCGTTGTAAGACTTTGTATTTTTGGTGTTGTACAGTAGGTATTGTTTTCGTGGTATTGTACTGTATACGTTGTATTCAGCTCATAAGCGTTGTATTTTAGGGGATGTAGAGTGTTATATCCTTGGTGTTGTAGGCGTTGTATTATTCATTTTGTAGTCAGTATATTCTTAGTTTTATAGAAAGTGTGTACCTTGACCTTAAGGTGTTATATTCATCTTATAACCGCTGTATTTCTCATTTTGTAAGAGCCGTATTCTACATCTCATCGACCTCGTCTTTTACCGACTCTAATATGCACACCTTAGACGCATTTCTCAACTAACTAATCCTCTCTCTTTCTCTCTCTCTCTCTCCCTCTCCCTTCGTAGTTCTGGGCGGCATATGTACCGTGTGGAGCGCAGTACCTCAACGCGGCACAGGTGACTCTGGAGCAGATCGACGTCATCAAGCGGATGATTGCGCGCTATCCTCAACACCTCGGCTACGCGCAGTCCTTCGCTAGTAAGATTAATGAGTAATGAAATTGTAGTGTATAGGAGGCGCCCAAATAATTCTCCAGTGCCAGAATTCCTTCCATTGATAGAAGTGGCCGTATGGAATGGATAGTTCTCTATAGAATTGGGTCAATGCTGGGTGCCGGGATGCGAACCTGTGACCTTCTATGTTAAGAGGACGGGGTAATAGCAGCTTTGTTAACCAGTTTTGAGACAAGACTTCTGCTTTCAAACATCTAGATCGATATATTTGTGGTGTGTGTGTGGGGGGAGGGGGGGGGGGCACTTTCTATGTATTCATATAATGCTTGTATTTATATTTATGTACATGTGTGAATAGGATTTTTAATGAGTGTTAATTATAAGTGTTGTGGTCTCCGTGGCAGGTTTGATGGAGGTGTACAACTCAGGACGCATCGCCAGCCTATTAGGGGTGGAGGGCGGCCACCTAATGGGCGCCAGTCTCTCTGTGCTGAGGATGTACTACGACCTGGGCATCCGCTACCTCACCCTCACCCACACCTGCAACACCCCATGGTAATCCACACCTGCAATACCTTCACCTACATCTGCAACACTCCATGGTAACCCACACCTCAATAGGCTACCTTCATCCACACCTGTAACACATTCACCCACACCTGCAACACACTTACCCACACCTTTATAAAAAAACACGACATGAAGACGACAGACGAACTAGAAACTGAAAATGAGGTGCCATAGAAGATGTTTGTTTTTATCTCCTAATACTGACTTTTTACATTAATAAAAAAGAGGAAATATGAGAGGACAAGATCCTTCTCTTCCCGTAGTGTGAACGTGAAGGATAGCAGTAACGTGAAGACTTGTTAAACCTTTGACTACGATGACTTAACCCCTTGAGTGCAATAATTATCGTGCTCGAGGAACAGGTATTCATAATCAAAGGGTTGAGATATTGTACTCGAAGGACCAAAGTCACTGTATGCAAGGGGTTAAATCATCGTACTTAAGGAGTCGGTCCCTGTACTCAATGTGGGGTTAGCATCGTGTTGAAGGAATTTAACTCAATATTTTTAGGGAGAAACTTAACTCCTTTTGCTCAGTTATTGTAAAAAAACAACAAAGAACTCCATTCTATCTTTCAGCCAGGTAGAGTTCTTATGGCCAGAATTAAACACGTACGAACCTTCCCCCAAGCCGTTTATGCTCATTCCAGGGCCAGTGTTTTTACAGAGACTACTGGATACAGGGCCAGTGTCTTTAAGAGACTTTACTCACTACAGGGCCAGTGTCTTTAAGAGACTTTACTCACTACAAGACCAGTGTCTTTAAGAGACTTTACTCACTACAGGGCCAGTGTCTTTAAGAGACTTTACTCACTACAGGGCCAGTGTCTTTAAGAGACTTTACTCACTACAAGGCCAGTGTCTCTAAGAGACTTTACTCACTACAGGGCCAGTGTCTCTAAGAGACTTTACTCACTACAGGGCCAGTGTCTCTAAGAGACTTTACTCACTACAGGGCCAGTGTCTTTAAGAGACTTTACTCACTGCAGGGCCAGTGTCTTTAAGAGACTTTACTCACTGCAAGGCCAGTGTCTTTAAGAGACTTTACTCACTAGAGGGCCAGTGTCTCTAAGAGACTTTACTCACTACAGGGCCAGTGTCTTTAAGAGACTTTACTCACTAGCCAGTGTCTTACTACTAGAGGGCCAGTGTCTTTAAGAGACTTACCACCAAGGGCCAGTGTCTTTAAGAGACTTTACTCACTACAGGGCCAGTGTCTCTTTCTCACTACAGGGCAGTGTCTTTAAGAGACTTTACTCACTCACTACAGGGCCAGTGTCTCTGAGACTTTACTCACTGGGGCCAGTCATTACTGCAGGGCCAGGGAGACTTCTAAGAGACTTCCTGCTCACTAGAGGGCCAGTGTGTCTAAGAGACTTTACTCACTACAGGGCCAGTGTCTCTAAGAGACTTTACTCACTACAGGGCCAGTGTCTTTAAGAGACTCTACTCACTGCAGGGCCAGTGTCTTTAAGAGACTTTACTCACTAGAGGGCCAGTGTCTCTAAGAGACTTTACTCACTACAGGGCCAGTGTCTTTAAGAGACTTTACTCAGTACAGGGCCAGTGTCTTTAAGAGACTTTACTCAATAGAGGGCCAGTGTCTCTAAGAGACTTTACTCACTACAGGGCCAGTGTCTTTAAGAGACTTTACTCACTACAGGGCCAGTGTCTTTAAGAGACTTTACTCAGTACAGGGCCAGTGTCTCTAAGAAACTTTACTCACTACAGGGTCAGTGTCTTTAAGAGATTTTACTCACTACAGGGCCAGTGTCTTTAAGAGACTTTACTCACTACAGGGCCAGTGTCTCTAAGAAGCTTTACTCACTACAGGGCCAGTGTCTTTAAGAGACTTTACTCACTACAGGGCCAGTGTCTTTAAGAGACTTTACTCACTACAGGGCCAGTGTCTTTAAGAGACTTTACTCACTACAGGGCCAGTGTCTTTAAGAGACTTTACTCACTCACCACAGGCCAGTGTCTCTTAAGAGAGACTTTACTCACTACAGGACCAGTGTCTTTAAGAGACTTTACTCACTGCAGGGCCAGTGTCTTTAAGAGACTTTACTCACTACAAAGCCAGTGTCTTTAAGAGACTTTACTCACTACAGGGCCAGTGTCTTTAAGAGACTTTACTCACTACAGGGCCAGTGTCTTTAAGAGACTTTACTCACTACAGGACCAGTGTCTCTAAGAAACTTTACTCACTACAGAGCCAGTGTCTTTAAGAGACTTTACTCACTACAGGGCCAGTGTCTCTAAGTGACTTTACTCACTACAGGACCAGTGTCTCTAAGAGACTTTATCCACTACAGAGCCCAATTTTTATTGTAGAAAATGTACTTAATGCAGGGACTGTGTTTTAAGATACATAGCTTACTAAAGCTTAAAGCTGTATTTTAAGAGACCTTATCTCGCTATGTATTTCTTAAGAGACCGTTAGTCCCATAGCCTCTGTTTTACGAGACTACAGCGACTACTTCAGCTCAGTGACCTGCGTTTTAGTACCCGCTTGCTTGTTCACTGATGCATTATGTGACTGTCTTCAGTCCAAGGACTGTGTCGGAGGAGCGTATGCTCCCTCTAGGGAATGTTGATGTTGGAGACAATGCTTACCCCAGGGTTTGTATTGTGTCATATGCCCACTTCCGGATTTGTATTGTAGGAGACTTTACTCACTCTTTGGGTCAAGATGAAAGACTTTCCTTTGTTTATATGCTATAAATATTAGTCTATGATCCCACAAGGAAATGAACCTTAACATATTATGTACTCTCCCGTGGCCGGGTCCTTAAAGGCTACACTTCCGGGGAATAAAATCACGATACCCTGACCCTTTACATGGTCCATCGAACAAGAGGCTACGCTCATTATAGGGAGTAAATGAATCAGATTACACTCGCTGCAATGACTTGAATTACAAAGCTCAGCTCACTGTGGGCCTCAAGTTACAGGACTGTGCTTGCTGTAGTGCCCACGTTACAGCGCTAAGCACACTCCAAGGCCCCAAACTTTAGTGTGTGTATGTTGGCGCAGGTGTGGCCACGGGCAGGAGAAGTGAGGGTCTTAGTTTTATGCCATTCAGGGGTCCATTACCCGCCGCCGCGCGAAGTGCTCGTTGGCCTAAATGTTATGTGGTCCTTCCCTGGGACCAGATGATCTTACTGCTGCTCCAGACACACACACTCACTCCCTCTCACGTTATTACCGAGTTGGAAAATTCTTATTTCCTCTCGGAGGGTAAATGGTGAAGTCTTCGAGTGACCAAAATAAATATGGATTTTTCGGTACACAGCTACGGTTTCCCGGGAAGAATGTTTAGTTTAAAGTGAGTGTTTATACTGCTGGGGAAGAGAAAATGTTGATCTTGTGGATACATGTTGGAGATCCCGACTAAACGACAACTTTTAAGGGAACTTTACTAGGACACCGCTCTCACCACTCTCAGGGAGACAACCCACAACAAACACCAGGGACAACTTCTACCGATGCTAAAAAACACATTTTATATATTTGATTCTCTGACGAACTGTGAAGTTCTGGTTAGAAAATAATAATTAAACTTGTTACTAAATATTAATCCTTTGAATACGATTATTTTCATCCTTGGGTGCAATGGCTTAACCCCTTGAATATAATGGCTAAGTCACTTTAGTACGATTATTTCACCCCTTGAGTATGATGACTGAACCCCTTGAGTACGAATACTTAACCCAGTACAATGTTATTCTCTAGACCGTACTTTTTTTTTTATTGGGCACCCCCCAACATCCTTGTGTAAGGTGAAGCTATGCTTGCCTTATGTCTCATGAGTCAAGGGCGTAGAAGCCTGAAGAGTCAATCGTTTTATGTCATCAATTGGAAGCTCCAACAACTTGTCCCTGAATACGAATTCGCAACTTTCGATTTACACCAGGAACCTACTTTACTGCTAGGTGAACAGGGACTAATGGGGGCTACGAAGCATGTCCAAACAACTTCCACCGGCCCGGGAATCGAACCCGTGACATCTCGCTTGCGAGGCAAGAACCGTACCGCTCTACCACCAGCGCCCCCAATATATCGTACTAGTTAGGTCAACTCACTGTACTCTAGGGGGCTCAGCATCGTACCCAAGGGGTTAAAAAGATCGGAGTAGAATTAAGTTGATCATTTGGTGAATATGGGAGTGCGGCAGCGTTGGGTATACCTCAGACGGAGGGAGGCACCACACCTTTAAGGCACATTGTAACGTAGGAATAGTAAATTATTTCTAAGACTATAGAGAGAGAGAGAGAGAGAGAGAGAGAGAGAGAGAGAGAGAGAGAGAGAGAGAGAGAGAGAGAGAGAGAGAGAGAGAGAGAGAGAGAGAGAGAGAGAGAGAGAGAGAGAGAGAGAGAGAGAGAGAGAGAGAGAGAGAGAGAGAGAGAGAGAGAGAGAGAGAGAGAGAGAGAGAGAGAGAGAGAGAGAGAGAGAGAGAGAGAGAGAGAGAGAGAGAGAGGAGAGAGAGAGAGAGAGAGAGAGAGAGAGAGAGAGAGAGAGAGGAGAGAGAGAGAGAGAGAGAGAGAGAGAGAGAGAGAGAGAGAGAGAGAGAGAGAGAGAGAGAGAGAGAGAGAGAGAGAGAGAGAGAGAGAGAGAGAGAGAGAGAGAGAGAGAGAGAGAGAGAGAGAGAGAGAGAGAGAGAGAGAGAGAGAGAGAGAGAGAGAGAGAGAGAGAGAGAGAGAGAGAGAGAGAGAGAGAGAGAGAGAGAGAGAGAGAGAGAGAGAGAGAGAGAGAGAGAGAGAGAGAGAGAGAGAGAGAGAGAGAGAGAGAGAGAGAGAGAGAGAGAGAGAGAGAGAGAGAGAGAGAGAGAGAGAGAGAGAGAGAGAGAGAGAGAGAGAGAGAGAGAGAGAGAGAGAGAGAGAGAGAGAGAGAGAGAGAGAGAGAGAGAGAGAGAGAGAGAGAGAGAGAGAGAGAGAGAGAGAGAGAGAGAGAGAGAGAGAGAGAGAGAGAGAGAGAGAGAGAGAG